ACCAGGTTCAAAGAGCTTCAAGGACCCCAACAAGGCCTCTTCCTCCTCCTCTTCTTGGAAGAAAAGAGGAAGAACAACTCAACAACTGACCGGTTAATAATAATAACAATAAGAATAATATACACCCGAGACTGGAGTGAAGTTTCCTGTATGTTCCTTTAGGATGTTTTTTAAAAAAACAAACTAGCAATGTGGGGTTTTTTTTTGGTGGAGTAGAATCTTGGCAGACATTGATTCTATTTCGCCCCCTACCCCAAACTGCAGATCGGTAGCAGAGTTGGTAATTTTTTCAGAGCTGCTGGGGAGTTTGTGTGTGTGTATGTGTACATACACACATACATATACACTCACATTTAAAAAATGAGTATTATTCTTCATTGAAAGTTATTTTTGGTCAGGAAAGAGTCAAACAAAAAAGTCAGAATGTCTGCTGGAGACCCCCCTGTTATAATCCCCATTAAAAAGGGGTGGATTTCGGTCACATTGTCACGACCAGCATATTAGTTTAATTATTTCCATTTTATTTATTTATACACCGCCTTTATTCTTTTTACAAATATCTCAAAATGGCGAATGTATCCCACACACCTCCCTCCTGTTTTCTTGACATTTTAAACCCTCCCACGGGAACATCCTATTATTATTGTTGTTATATGTATGTATATATGTGGGAAAGCTCATTGAACAAATGTCTTATTTACCAACATAAATTTTGGGCTCAATCCTGGTCGTTAAGTCAAGGACGATCAGTGCTGGGCATGTTCCGTTACCACATAATTTATTTCTGGTGTTAAAATCTGCGGTTGCATTTGTACAACGCAATTAAGGTACAATATTAAGTTCATCCTCGTGCTTTAAATCATAAACCAGCCAAACAGGATAATGGAAACCACAATAAGCGAAGAAGAATTCGAAGATTATTTACTGGCGTCTCTTCTACCACAAGCTATATTTCGGTATCTCGAACCTAGTTCCATAGCAAAAGAAAGTGAGTTTTTAAAAAATGTTCTTTTTACTATTTCTCTAAGCTTGAGTTCGCGCCCGGCTCCTAAAAAATTCCAGCTGTAAAGTAAGAATCGGAGGTCAGGAGGAAATAAGCCATGTTGTGACCTCACCAAATGTAGATCCCACAAGGCTTGTGCGATGGGAAGGTTGCCGGCTGGGGTGAAAATGAAGCAACTTCTCCATGAGGACTATAAACTTGTCAAGAGAGCACAACGAAGTACTCAACAGGTGAACTATATATAATATACATACATACTAAACCCCACACACACTAGGGCACAGACCATTCACACACACATTGGTGACATTGTCGGTAATTACGGATGTGATCTTGAGATTTGGAGCGGTGCAGCAGCCTAGACGTAGAGCTCGCTTCACAATCAGGAGGCTGTGAATTTGATCTTAGGGTAGATAGAGGCAGATATTTCTCTCTCTTGGCACAATAAAGAATATATCTGCTGAACAAAACTCTGCACTGGCAACAGAAAGGGCATCCGGCCAGTAAATAGACTGCTAGCTCCATTCAGTTGCTTTGACATCACCCCGCAAGGGATTATGAGGTCGTTAAATGATCTTGAGATTTTTGCTGAGCGATGATGATGCCATTGGGTACATTTATTGGAAAACAGCAAATTGTGTGTTAGGGGTGGAAAAAATGAAAAGGCCAATATTGTAAGGTCAAGGTCATCAGCTACGTCTATGCTGGCCGGGGAATTCTGGGAGTTGACATTCACACCTTAAAAGCCACGGAAATTAAAATACACCGATTTAACCTACAGATTTCAGCAGAAACGGCCCGCAAGCGTTACTGAATGAAACCAAAGTAAATAACAAGCCACAATAAACACACAGAGTAAAATATTTGGGGATAGGGAAAACAACCTAAAAGAACATTTGAATTTTGAAACGGATCGATGGCTACGAGCAAGTGGAATCATGCATTCTCTTGCCAAGACGCACCACACGAATGAAAATTCAAGTCCAGCCAATTTTGCATTCACAGAACTCGTGAAATAAGTTTACAGACAACAAACTCGGTGCAAGAAGGGCAGACATTGGACTTTATGTTTTATTTGGTGCAAATGACTCTTTTGAGCCTTTACAACACAGTTGGCTAGCTCCATAAAAGATACAGCAACGATCCTGGATTAAAAAGTCATTTTCTTACAGGACTTTTTTTTTTAAAAAAATATCCTCAATTTATTTGTTTTTCTTGTTTATTCCCTTCACCCCTAAACATTTCAAGTCTGTCCTTTGAAAACACTTAGCAGCATAAAACAAAACTATATTAATATCAAGGATCTTCTAACAGGAACTGTGGCCCCAAAATAATATTAGAATATATTTACAAACCATACAGAACTATCAAAAAATCTATACAGAGCCCTCAATCGAGCCCGATTTTTTTAAATGGCTAAGCAAGCTAAGGGAGTTTTGCCCCATTCCACAATCTCCCTGGCCACCGTTGTTAAGCGAATCACTGCCACTGTTAAGGGAGTCCCCCAATTGTTAAGTAAATCCAGCTTCTCCATCGACTTGGCTTGTTGCAAAAAGGGGATCGCGTGACCTCGGGATGCTGCAATTGTCGTAAATACGAGTTAGTGGCCGAGCATCCAAATTTGGGTCACGTGGGGAGGCTGTGAAGAACAGCCGTAAATGCCTTCCGTTGCATTCTCATCTCTTGATGTTAATTTTTTTTTTTTCCCCAGTTCATCAGCTGGTGTGGAGTGCCGGTTTACATTGCAAAAATGTTACCCAAAAGGAGCCACCACCAAGGAAGCCCCGCTTCCCTTCACTATACTGCGGGGCATGTTTTTTTTCTGTTTGCACGAATGAATGCAACCGTTTGTTTGTTTTTTTCAAACCTCAACACATGCAGAACACTGAGAGCTCCCCAACTGGCGAGTATTGGTATCGTGTTTCCCCGAAAATAAGACCCCGTCTTATAATTTTTTTGCCACCAAAAAAAAGGCACCGGGTCTTATTTTCGGGAGATGTCATCCACTGACATCCCTAATCTTTTTTCAAAATTGGGGGGGAAGCGGGTAAAAAAATAATTATGCATTTGTTAGATGGAGAGCGATACAAATTGCACGAATAAATATTTTTTAAAAAGAACAGGCTGGAGCAGCACATAAGAGGATGCATTTGTCCTTCACATCTGTAACAGATGCATTGGTGGTTCAGTGGTAGAATTCTCGCCTGCCACGCAGGAGGCCCGGGTTCGATTCCCGGCCAATGCAACTGACTTTTTTTTTTGTGGGAATCTTATTTTTCTAGCGGGGGGGTGGCGGAGGGAAATATATATATATTGCCAACAATATGGTTCCCTGAGGAATTCTGGGAGTTGAAGTCCACATGTCTGAATCGCTGGGAGTTCAAGGTGATATAGGTAGCAGGGTTTCCAAGGTTTTTTCCCCCAATCGGTGCCCTGTGAAATAAGATAAGTTGGTTCCTCCCCCCGCCCCCAAGTCCCCCAAGGCTGATTGGAGAGAGGATGCGGAAAAATTTAACCCATTGCTTTCCCAAACATCCTTTACTTACCTGCAAAATTGGTGGTATTGGGAGGGTTGTGTGCCCTGGCCCTTAAAAACCTTTAAAAACAATTTAAAAAATAATAATAATTTTTAAAAACCACGAAAGGAAACCAACCCAGCAATCATTGTTACTTGAATTCGCAGGTTATGCTTAAACCTTGATGTTGAAGCCAACATCCTGGGCATACACCGGCTGTCAACTCATAACACATTCCTATGGTCTTTTTAAAGTTGCCAACAGAAATGGGGGGGGAAAGGGGGTTTGAAAGAGCAGTGCGGCAGCTTGGAAATCAAAAGCGCATTCCATAAATGTTTTCAAAGATAGTAACTAGGTGACCGAAGTTTCTGCCACTCAATGATCTAACTGGAGAGCATGATTGGTGGCTCTGAGCTATGGACGTGTCCCATTGGAGAATATGAATTACGATATACCCAGGGGGAGGGGCAAAACCAGGGTCAAGGGTGACCATGAATTATGTGACTCAGAGTCGGCTACACCCGGGCAGTGCTGGCATGTTTACTCCTAATAAATCCTTTGGAAGTTTTGGAAGTTTGGCTCCAGACTCCTTGATTTATTTGGGGGTAACTGCCGGAATCCTGACACATGGGTTTTCTAAACCATTCCTCCAGGCTAGGATCCCACAAGGCTTTCAACCAGGCCCCCCTGCCACCTGGCTTTGAGCAAAGTGGAAATCCAAATCGCTAGTCCTTAAGAAATCTGTTCGTCGGAGAATGCTAACGGGACATAAAAGTCGGTTTTTGCTGACCGCTACGATATCTACTTATTTTTTTTTGAAGGCGCATAGAGGGGAAGGTCCAGGATATTTTCTGACCCACCCACCCCCTTAGGGCCAAGGACGCCAGAAAGGGGGGTGCAGGGACATGTTTTTGTCTGAGGCTTCCCTTTCAGGAGTGCGGGGGTCTCTTTTCTGCCTTCCCAGGTGTCCCGTGCTGCAAGAAGCCGTGCCTGAGCTGGCAAAAGTTCGGTTTGGTTGCAATGGGGAGCAGGAAACCTCGGGGGTCCCGGTGGGAGATTCCTCGGAGGAAGAACTGGGAGAAAACGTGGAAGGGGTCCAATCCGGAGGGGACGGATCCGACGTGGCAGCGAGGTAGACGTGGAGCGTCTCCCACAAGTGTCTCTGGACCGACAGGGGGCTTCGGCGGATGAAGGAGGCCAGGTGTCCGAAACACGCCCGGAAACCCATGGCGTAGCAAGTCTGCAGGCCGACATCTTCGGAAGGATTCGCACCTGGAAGAGGGGAATTGCAAAGGCCGGGAGGAGGCTGGTCACGCCCAACCCAAAGCAGGGCAGCCCCTATCCGGCACCGGATCCAGAAACCGGATGCTTGCCTGGTGCGATGCCAAGAATGTTCATCCAATTGGAAGGTTTGTGGCCCTCTATCCAGGGGGCGGGCTGCTACAGGTTGCTAATTTGTTATCGTTTTTAATGACCGGTTTGGTGAACTGGTAAATCCCATCCCTGGCTGGCCCCGCCCTCCCTGCCCTGCCCCTCCCAGGTGCCCCCACGCATCCCATTTTAAATGCCAGGTAAGTGCAGGGCCCCGATGGAAGCTCAGGGAGGGTGTAAAACGGGCTTCCTGGAGGCTCCAGAAGGCTGGAAACGGGCCTGTTTCTGGCCTCCAGAGGGCCTCCTGAGTCCGGGGAGGCCTTTTTCGCCCTCCCGGAAGCTCAAGGAAAGCCTCAGGGGCCCGGGGAGGCCATTTTTGCCCTCCTGGAAGCTCAAGGAAAGCCTCAGGAGCCCGGGGAGGCCATTTTCACCCTCCTGGAAGCTCAAGGAAAGCCTCAGGGGCCTGGGGAGGCCATTTTCACCCTCCTGGAAGCTCAAGGAAAGCCTCAGGAGCCCTGGGAGGCCATTTTCGCCCTCCTGGAAGCTCAAGGAAAGCCTCAGGAGCCTGGGGAGTGTGAGAAACAAGCCTCCTGGATGTTCCAGAAGGCCCGAATGGACCTGTTTCTGGCCTCCAGAGGGCCTCCGGAGCCTGGGGAGGACATTTTTCCCCTCCCAGAGGCTCTAGGAAGCCCCAGGGGGCCCCCGAAGAGGGAGAAACCCCCCCCCCCCCCCATGATGCAGGAGGCCGACTAGGCCACACCCACCGTGGCCAGGCCCACCCAGCAACCGGGCAGAGAACCGGTTGCTAAAATGTTTGAAGCCCACCCTTGCCTCCATCCCCAACTTGGCGCCCTCTGGAAAAGCCCCCTCTGGATTGGGAATCCAAGCCTAGAGGTAGTCCTCGACTTACAGCCGTTGGTTTGGGCGAGCATTCCAAGTGGCAAAAAGCGACTTTCGGGCCAGTCCTCAACACTTGCAACTATCGCGGCTTCCCTGCAGTCGCGGGATCAAAATTGGCAACCGGCATGTACAAATACTCCTCGACTTAACGACAGTTCAGTTTAGTGGCCGTTCGAAGTGAGGACAGCATTGGAAAAAAGGGAGTTAGGACCATTTTGTCTGAAGCGGTGTAAGGGTTTCCTGCCAAAGCAGAGGGTTGGACTAGAAGAGCTTTAAGGTCCCTTCCAACTCTGTTATTCTATCCTATTCTATGACCATTTTTTCACACTTATGACTGTGGCAGCCTTTCCCATGGTCCCGTGGTTTACATTCAGATGCTTGACAACTGACTCGTATTTATGACGGTCACAGTGTCTCGGG